GGGGGGGGGGGGGGTCTGCTGTCCTGACACGATAAAAGCAGATCACTTTACCTTCTCTCCACTTCTCTTTCTCTGTGATTTGCTGCTTTTGGCCTCTACTGCTTGCAAATGAATATTGCGAGAAATACTGCAAGCGGTCACTCATAAGAGACATAAGACATATAAAAGTTCATGCACACAGGCACCCACACACAGTGTAAACCCACTCACCCTGCCGCCCGCCCACAAACCCTCTCACACACTTTGTATTTGTAACTCTTACACACTCGATCACTTTATTGAAGAAGCTCTGCAGTATAAGCATGTTAATATGCTGGCAGTGGTTCCTGTTACAGAGGGAAGCTGTTCTGCTGAATCCCAATAGCCCAGGGACAGAAAGGATACTGAGCCAAGTTTTGACTGCAGTTACGCTCCAACACTGCTACTTAAATAATTGTCTCTCTCATCCCCTTACTCATCCTCTTTGCACCTCTCTCTCCTTCCCTTCCCCTACTCTCTTACTTTACTAATCCCTATTCCCTCTTCACCTCTCTATCCAATTTGATACATTTCTTCTCAAACTAGCTTTTCCGCACCACATCTGTCTTCTTGACTTTTTTGAGATTTATGTAATTCTCACTAAATTCACCTCACAGCTTTACGTGCATGATATATACAATGTGTATATCAATTCATTAGAGTACGAGACCTTTAAGATATGCTGAGCTATCTAAATCCATGCGTATCAGTGCGTCAATATGTGAGGTTACAAGACATCTTTAATGCACACACAGGCATGTATACGGAAATATGCAAATGAAATATAAGAAATGCAAACTCGCTCAAATGCATGCACAACATATTTTTCTCATTGCGGATTCCACACCAAAGCTAGTACGCTTAAAGGATTTCCTTAAATCATTACTTTAACCATTGAAGGAATATCTAATAGAAAGAAGATTAATGGATGTCTGTAAAGCACTTGCTTTATTGCCTTGCTGGTCTAGCATAAAGATCATTGGGAAACATCAAACACACCGCAGACATTTATGACATTTAAAGTATATTTGGATTTTACAAAGAGAAGATCAGCCTCCTCTGCTGGAGTGAAAATAATGTGGAAGAGGGGAACCGGGTAACAAAAGAGGGCCAATATACAGTAAGTACTTTGATATGTGATGAACCTGTCACTGTGGTCCTGCCTGCTCTCATCATACTACTGCTCTGATGGCTCCCATAGGATTGTTGACATCCTTGTGGATTCATCCTCTTCCAAACATTTGGTCTATCTATGTTGTAAATGTATTAT